TGCAGTTGATAGTTACTTTTGGTATGCCTCTCCTCAAAATCTCTCCTGGCATTACTATTGCTAATTTAGTTTATTGGAAAAGCAGTCAAATTTTTTAAAATCCTGATTTCTAATGGACTTGCACATATTGCCTTGGAAAGCAGAATTTTAAACATTTGTACAATTATTCTGACCTGGAATGTAAAGCATTGTGCCTGAGCAAATGGAACAAACAAAACATCATCCAAGCAAATTAAGTATTCTGAAGAATGCAGTGACATACTATAATGCACTATTATAGTGGGCACTACAGTTATGTAAGATTTGATAATACCACTGCAACTAAGAGCAATTCTATTTTACTTTTCACTTTTTTTTTTTTTCCTGGCAGGATTCTGCCTTACACTCGTGCCTTAACTGGGTTTACTTATGCATTTCTTTTACCTCTCCTTTGAGGATTTCATCCATTCCTAAGGTACAAACCACAGTGGTTAAAAGATATTACATATTAGAAGTTGAAAAAGACCAAAGCTTTTCATTCAATGCTAATATATGTTAGTGAAAGGAGACAGATAAATTTGACTATTTTGTACTTAGAGGGTACAAGCCCCACAGAAGGGCATCAGGAGATGATCCTTTTTTTTTTTTTTTTAGAACTGAGTGTGAAGAGGTCAAGAAGGCAAAGCTATGAGAACATTCCTGGGTGAGGAGAAAGAAGCAGTTAAGGCATACTGCTGCATCAGGTAAACATGCAGGGACCTATAACCATGGCTGAGAAGGTTCAATTTGAAATGCAATGAAGTAGGGGTATATTTTTAACCATTTTACCAGCAGTTCTTAAGAAATACAGGAGCAAGATAGAGCTGAATGGCCTTGTGATTTTCAAGCTGTCCAGCTGTGTGTGGCAACTTCCTTGAGGCCACGTGCTCCACCTCTCATCCCTTTGTTATATAATGAATGCAGGGAAATTATATCACAGGTGAGGAAAAAAAAAATGTCTAAAATGGAGGCAGGTTCTAAAGGAACTCAACAAGTATAAGGCCAATTCCTGGTTTATCATAATTGAAAAATTATTACTACTTTTCCATAACATGAAAAATTTAAAACTCGAAATACTGGAAGTAAAATGAAAACCTTCAGAGCCACAACAAGGCATCCCATGGGTTGATACAGTTTCATTATTCTCAGCAAAACCCAAGTATTTATGGTTTTTGAACCAGACATTAAATCCCCCTCTTCCTGAATGCCTCCCTTCAATTTCCTTATCTTACCATAGCTTTTATGTCTCAATCCAGGCATTATATTCTCTAAACATTCCTGGCCATGTTTGATCCTAAATAATGAGGATGACAACAGTTGCTAATACAGTATTTCATCTAGGCCAGGTAATATTCCAAAGTACCTCAGTGCATTAGCACTTTATCTCCCCCTCACACCAATCCTATCAGGCAGGTGCCTACATGTTCTTTTTACAGATAAGATACTGAGGCCCAAAGAGATTAACAAACCTACCCAAGGCCACCTCACTGGTAAAGTGAATGTTTGTACCTGTGCAGACCAGATGCACAGTCCATGCTCTAATCACTAGGTACAGTGTTTATGGGTGGTTAGAAATCATGAGAAATGCTATCAACTGTTGTTTACACAGAGCTCTGGACTATCCTGCTCTGTATTTATGTTCTTAAGTATAAAGCTGTCCTAAAAATCTTTGTTGCAACTTAGTTTTAAAATGTACAGCTGCTGTTAGCTAAAGTGTTAGAATTTACCAATCTTATTGTAATAAAAGTATCTTAGAGGCTAATGAAAGCCCTTGGCAATTTTAATATTATATCATAGTAAATTATAGTATAATTATTTCTAAGGTCAAGAATCTTAAACATTTACTCTTAAATTTTCTGATTGCTTTACCCAGGTGGAGAGTTTTAAGTATGTATGAAAATGTTTAATTATACAAAACAAATTGAAATCTACCAATCTAAAAATCTTTAAATAAAATGTTTTTCCACATGGGTGTCCTCCACCCCCCATTCATTGCATGAAAGGAAGTTTTTAAAGAAAATGTCTCTGTTTTAAAACACTTCATATCATTAATTACTGATGGGAAGCTATGGTACTGGGCCCCAGTGGGAGGGGAGGCAGGACAAGACCTCAATGTGTTGTTGGAGTGGCCATATAACAGGGGTTTGGCTTACTATAAAGTTCAGGTGTCTGTATTTGAAACTGCTTTCTCTTATCTGATCTAATTATAAAAGTTCATATGAGCAAAGCAATTACTCTCTCTCTATATATATAATAACCACATGAATCAACATTGCTGAAATAGTTGGAGTGAACTGTTGTCTATTTGTACTCAGTCCCTAGGTCACTCAGTTATGATGGTCATCTATTAAAGTATACTTTAGTGCTTTTAATGCTTAACCAGAAAAACATCCCTGTAGTTGCCAATAACTAACTACAATATATAAGTAACTCATAACCACAAACACCATTTATCCAGAAAAATAAACATACTGTTAAGCTGGCCCTGCTTAGATCTTTTGAGATTTTCAATGCATAATATTTTGGAACTTATTTGTTCATTATTATGTAAGAAAAGGCATACTCACTGACCATTTCAGAAAAACAAAGGCTAGCCTATTTATATCCCATCTCCAGTAAGGATCATACAGTGTAGAGCCAAAAGCTGCTCTAAGAATGAAATAGCTCTGTCTTTTGTGAAGACACATAATCTTGGAGCTAAACCTCGACGTTCAAGATTTCTGACCCAAAGCATTTTATGAAAAAGCAGTCTCAGGAAACCCAAGTGGCAGAGCTGAAAGCCTTTCCTTTTAATTTCCCATTTACCACTTGTGGGCTCAATGACAGCACCTCACCAGAGAATAAACTTAACATCAAAAGAAGAAACTAAATCTAGGGACACAATCTCACCAAGCTTTAAGGAAAAAAAAAAAATGACATCTACCTTTGAGGAAATTAACTAGGACAACGGAATGTTTATCTGCATTCAAGCAATCACAGAAGAAACCAACCATTGGGTCAGTTTTATAGCTTACCAGTAATGTTCTGGCCAGTACACTGTACAACACAGTCATCACACCAGACTAGATCTTTCTTGTAAGAAAAGAATTACCGTGCACTTTCCTTGTCTATATCTGTGGTCAGAAATATGCACTTGAAAAATGTGTGAGTGGGTAGAAGAACAGAACTATGTATTTGTATAGCTGATTTTCCTCTGCTTTTGTTTTGCTTAAATTTCTACTACTGGAAATAAATTCTAAAATAGTATTAAAAATAATGAAAAAGTTTCAGCATTTTTGTAACGTATTTCCGGTTGGATTAATATTTTAAGGAATGGCAACATTTGCATAAGTCAATCTTCGATGGAAAATATAAGGTTGGGTAAAGTAGTTACATTCAAATTATATAAAACAAGTAGATTTCAAAAGAAACGAAGATACTCTAAAGAAAATTGCATTGCCTTCCCAACTCCTTGGAGAGCCAGTTTAGTTAACAGCCTACCTATGCTTCAGAGATGACCATGCAGCTTACATGTCAAACTCATTTTAAAGTGTCAATCATGTCCTTTTCAATCTAATTAGTTTGGAAAGTAGTGTCCCTGACCTGGAACTATACAGACCATTTATTATCATATTATTTGATCAACTTAACACTCTTCCTCAGTTAAGTTTTAGATACCTGTAGCCAAAATGTAATATCCTTTCTCCCCACTCATTGCTGATAACTCTCAATACAATTCCCTATTTACAACTCAATTTACTCTATGAATAAGCATGACCGACATCACAGAATCACCTCCAGAAGTCCATGGCTATCTTTCTAGCTATAATCAGAGAGGAATTTTTTTGATGCCTGAGGAGAGCAGGGGACTGACTGTGGGTATGATGCAGTGAACAGGAAGGTCTCTCTTCCTGCCCTACCACATACACATTCCTATCTGTTGCATATAACAAGTTTGTCCTCTTGCATTCTAAGGAAAACCCCTATGAGGATAGGAAGGGAGTTAGACATCAGGTGTTAGTTAATGAAGCAAGCTGGCACACACCCACCCGAATCTCCATGTGCCAGCATCAAAGGACATGCTGACCCTTTCTCATCTCCCTTTTGTTTTACTCCTTTGTATAAATATCCCTACCCTCTGCTCAAGAGCAGGATGGTGGTCTTTCAGACATGAGTCTGCTGCCCTCCTGAGTTTGTTGACAAATTGAACTCCTGCTCCTCAAACTCTGTTCCTTTTATTGGCTGAGGAAAACTGAGGCCAGCATTCAGTATCAAGTATGCCAAGTTGAAATTTGGAACCTTACAGATGGAGGAAACTTCTTTTTGTACAACATGATATAGTAAGTCATTGTTATAAAAGGAACCCTTCAGTTATAACCCCATTGTCATCAGATGGGTTTATGCTATAAAAAAACTTTTTCAGGTTCACAGTATTTACCTGACTTGAACTTGGTCAAGGGCAGAATGAGGCCTAACTGGAGAAGCAACTTATTCCTGAGGTCAAGGAAAAACACAAATGCCCCCAGGGAGGTGCTAAAGGCCAGACCACAGTGGAGGTGGGGTACCAAGGGTTACAAGATGATACCTGTCAGAGAAACAACAGATCACCTGGCCCACCTCTGACCAGAACATGAGAACCACCTAGCCTCCCTATTGGTTTAGTTTTGCATATTTGAAAACTGTTTTGCAAGACCAAAACACAAGCAGGCAATCTTATCCTTCAACCACAGAATAACATACTGAATAGAAAAAGGCAAATGGCATCAAGATATTGTAGCAACTATACATTCACTTCAGAAAGCAATATTTCAAAGACAAGATGTCAGCTACCAAAGTTCCCTTTCCTAAGTCTGTGTTTTCCTTTGGAGAAGTTACATTTTACCACAAATGCCTGTTTGTCTGAGGGATAAGCAAGAGTCTGCATTTATGTTTGCTCTGTCAAATAATAGTGAATGTAATTTTACATCTGGTCAAATAAAATATGCATATAAGTGCAAACTTACCTTCAGGTGAAGAACCTGTCTTTTGGGAAAAGACAGCATTTACTTTACTCTTCTTACTGATATTGCTGTTTACAGACAAGCTGGATTGAATTTTTCGATGCATTTTTTGAGAAACAGGTGCTGAAAATTTTCGGTTATCTGCAGATACATGTTTGGTCCCGTGGTGAATTCCATTTCCATTGCTCAAACTTGGGTGGCTGTTCTTGATCTTGCCTATTTCCTCCTCACTAGCTTCCTGTGCTGAAGTCTGAAGTTGAGGCAAGCGCTGAGGTTGGGCTAGGTTCAAAAACAGGATAAGTTTATCAAGCTATGAAAAAGATAACACTTCTTAAGCAAAATACACTCAGCAATGGATTTTGGGGATTTACCCATGAGCCCAAAAATGAAGAGGAAAAGAACACACACACAAAAAAAAATACCACTAAAACTTGAACACAGGTCAGGCATAATTACTAAAAAAAAATTGCATCAGAGTTTCAAAGATGACTTTATATGACAGATATCAAAAGAAGAGCAGTGTTTTTTTTTTTTTTTTTTTTTTTAATTGAAATTTAAGTGGGTAAGCTAAAAAAGTAACTGAACACTTCTTTGGCAAATGTTTTCCAAGTGCTAAGTCCTTTGCATGCAACAGACACAGCAACATTAGCTCAATAGCCCTGGTAAACTTCTTATCTTTTGAGATAGAAGGAAAGAACAATGAAATCAGGAGTAAAATCTGGACAATATTAAAGCATAGTTCTCTTCTCTTGAAAATGCATTTTACATTTTGGAAAACAAAATCATTTCTATGTTTATTCTTAAATCATATTTTAAAATGAAGCACTTTACAAAAAGATACTAGCTGATAAAAAACATCAACCACAATTAAACATCAACACATTAGAAGCACCCTCATTTACATGAGGCTCCAGAGAAGAATGCCCATTGTCATTCCCCTAGGAAACCTTAACCAGAGGTCCCAGTAGAAGCAATAAAGAAAGAGAAGTAACAGCTCTGAGCTCTGGAAAGATACCATATTTTTCGGTGTATACAAGATTGGAAAGTTCTAAGTACCATCTAAGACTACAAACCCTAGAAAAAATTAAGAATTTATCTGGATAAACACAGGATCAGCATACTAAAAATTTACAAAGTTCCACATGCTAAAAGTAACCTGTTAGTACACATGTGAGGGGGGGGGGGGAAAAGGAAAAAAAAAACTTCAAAATAACAAAAGGGAAAAGGGGAGCTAAAGACATCTAAAAACCCTCTAAGTCTATAGAAATAAAGTTAGGAAAAAACCCTCTAAGTCTATAGAAATAAAGTTAGGAAAAAATTTCCTGGCAGAAATTTCTAAACTACATAAAACTTTAGTTAAGTGCACAGTACAAATGTAACAGGGTAGTATCTAGGAAAAGGGGAACTTCCAGGTTCCGTGCCCCACCCAGAAGGAGGGTGAAGCTGAGCAGAGAAAAAGAAGAGAGAAGAGGCGACTGAAGGAGGATGGAGGAGGAGGAGACCTAAGGAAGCCACATGGAGCAGCAAGCATGTGATGAAGAAACCAGGCTTGTTTCCTGAACCTGGACTGGTT